ATATTTACGCGGAGTGGAGGGGAGCTGCTGATTATGTCTTGAATTTGAAATGAGAAAAAGCAGACGGAAGCAACAGAACTGGCAACAAAACTGTTGCATACCCCTCAAGAGGCTTTTAGGCATTCTTGGGAGAGATTAGAGGCTCTTGAGGGAAATATTTATGTATACAAAATGCCAAAAATATTTGCATAATCCTCATTAATTTGTGATGGGTAACAAAGCCCATACCCTCGTTTATTATCAACTGCCATAAATCACCCTAGTATTGTGCAGACAAACCCATTTGGCAAGCGATACCGCCGACTACGGGCACCGTTGACCCATTAAACGGCATGGAATAGAGGACTGAAAGCGTTTGCTGAACCACGAAGGAATGTTTGCACTCAGCTGATGATGATACAGACAGAAAGGATGGTTCAATGGCAAATAGAAATGGGGTGGTTGTGCTCGGAAGCTTTTTCATTTGCTTGAGCACCGTTCCCTACAAAACATCTGGTGCCAAGATATGTACATTCCATGCATTTGTGTGTATCCTGTGCACCCTGGATAATATTCGGAGCGGAGCTATTGATTTTCTACCCCAAACAGGATGACAAAGTCTTGGTCTACATACGAAGGCAGTCATATCAAAGTATTCGCAAGGTGTGAAGGTGCTACGATAATGTTTTTCTTGGTCTCTGGACTTACGTAAAGAGTTGGGAGTTGATATGTGAAGGGCTCTGCGTGTCTCGAATCGGTCTGTAGTTATGGCTGCTGCTGTTATGGATGCAAAGAAAGAAAAGCAATTTAACACAATTATTTTTGCAGCTATATCACGATATTGTTTTGTTATTTCGATGCCTTTTCTGCATTGTTTATCTGCAGGCACGTGAAAGGAACTTTCTCTCTTTCTCTTTGGTTCTCTCTATCCCTCTCTCTCGCTGGGACTCACACGTACCACGGCACACGAACACAGAAGCGAACAGAAGAGGGAGCGACGACGACCAGAGCTGCGCGAGAGTTCAAGACCGACTGACGAAGAGGAGTCTCAGCAAGAGAATTTGCTGGCTCTGCTGAGACAATCACTCAATCGGAATTTTGGCTCAACTTTCGGCCGGAAAAGCGCCGAGCAGACTCACTCAAATGGTGCTCGGCAAATTGTTGTTTATTGTGCATGGGCAAATGTAATTATAGTCCGCAAATCCACAGCCCCACCGAGCTCCGAAACGTCAGCAAAGATACTGTATATACAACATTCGTATATAAATTGTACAATTTACTCGCAAATCTCACTCAGAGAGTGGTGCTAGGGGGGGTTTAGGTGCAACAGCTGCTGCGCACAAAGAAACCCAATGCCCTCTGTATCCTTGCGGTTCTGCACAAGCCTGGGTGTTAATTACTGTGCAGGACTCAATGAGAAGTACGATCTGGAGTCTATAATTTGAAATTTATGATGCTTTGTACAACTGAAATTCCAAGTTGAAGTTAAAGTTAGTAGGCCTTGCCGATTCACATGTACAATAATTTACTTTCCCCCCGATACGATATGGATACGATGTTGGCAATAAAGGGTAAGGACTTTGTCCTACTCTCCGCTAACATAGGGACAGGCAAAGGCCTCTTAATGTTGGATCAAGGTGAGTTCGATTGGCATCCATTTGGCATACATTCACATATTTGTATCACTATTCCAGACAAATCAAAGATAGAGCGTATCAGTGACTATTCCATGATTGCTGCCGCTGGCGAAGGAGGAGATCCGCATCGCTTTGTTAACTCTATCGCTAAGCATTCGGAATTGCATAGAGTGCAACATAATGGATTGGATATGCCCGTGAATAGCATTGCGCACTTTGCCGGCAAACAAATATGTGCAAATGTGATGGAAAATCTGAACTATAAGGTTTCCGCACTGATTGCTGGCTGGGGTCCGCTGATGGGTCCGCAACTGTATCAAATCGACGAGTTCGGGGGCTTAAGGTCCGTACCATATAGTGGCCAAGGCGTGGGGATGGCCTTATTTAACTCCATATTCCAAAAATACAATTCGCCAGACATTGATGAACCGACAGCTTACAAAGTGCTGAAGCAATGCGTGGCAGCAGCCCATGAGCGTCTCGCTGTCAATATGCGCCACTTTGAGGTGTTTGTTGTGAAGGAAAATGGCATCACCAAGCTGAACACCATCGATGCTGACTCCTTGAAGACGGCCCCAAATTGAGTCTTTAAAATATTGATTTACATTTTTAACACACACAAATCAGATACATCAGACCCATGCTCTTAGCTTCTCACTAAAGTAAATTGTTGGGTAGAGGATAATTTTTACTCTAATTGAACATAAACGTGTGATAAAAAGTGAATTTTTCCATTATTTAAACTATAAATATGCGAAACAAGTGCAAAGTTAATTGGCTGCCAGGTCCTGCCAGATATCAGAGGGCTCTGTTTACGTTTAAAATTTAATGAGCATTTTGAACAGCATTAAAGGTGTTGGCAAATTGCATTCCATCCGAGCTTAATTTGAGCTTACCCAAGGGAATCGCTGCGTATACTCAATTTAATTAAATATTGCGCATACACCGCGTCATAACTCCCCTGTTTAGCCCATAAAGCAACATAAAATGTCTGTATTTGTGCTTTTATTTGTTTATTCATGCTGCTCGTAAAACGTTTCCCATTGAACCGAATTGCGGATTTTGCTTGCGCAAGAATTTCATATATCCGCGAACAGGGGAGTTTTCCCTAATGGAAATGGTTGCATGAAGTGGAAAGATATGAGTGCCTCACACCCATAAAAGCTTTATCTGATGTGTGAATATTCCAATCCAAATTGTTTTAAAAGATGCACAGCAAAACTGTTTTATTATTCTGACTAAAATGTTAAACACCTCTGGAGTAATTTCTTTGCCATTGCCACACATATTATTTTGCTCAAGCTAACCAAAACAAACAAATTTGTTTCCCCATTCTCCGAAGGTAATTATTGCCAATTGTTTACCAGAAGTATTTGTTGTGTATACCGAAACAGTATTCACTCAATGCCAAGGTGATGATGTGTTCGACACACACAAGAAGAAATGTTTAGCTCAGCAACAGAAAACATAATCATAAAATTCTAAAACCTCTAGCCTGAACTTGGATGAGATCAGAGGTTGTCAGTGGGTTTAATTAATTCTAATCAATTGTGCGTATGACTTTAATTTGACATTGACATTCAAATGGGACTACTTCGCTTCTACTTTTCTGCTTAATTTCTGGGCATTTACAGACACATGCCCCATGCCTCACGCTTCACTGCGGCTCAGACGCAGATAATAAGTCCAACAGATGGACAGACATGACACCGACATGGGACAGTAAATTCGTGTTTCGTGTTGTGCAAAATAGTCCATCAAAAAAGAGGGAATCAAGAGAGCGGCAGAGAGGTGTAGTAAAATTTAAACGGCTGTTAAATTGTTTGCTTTAATGCAAATCCCATTGAGAGCCTTGTTTGATGGCTCTGTAAATCGTCAATTCACTCATCCATTGGGCCATTTCATCAAGTGACAAGTTACTTACGCTTAAAGCTTCCAGTTCACTGAATCACGAGAAAAAAACGACCTGCTAGGTGTTGAATCTGTGGATACTCTTAAATCAATATATTGGCTCAATTTTGGGCTATAAACAGAAAGTATGAAGAAATTGTTTGATTAATTTCAAACATAATATCCTGTCTAAGGGTAGAAAAACAATTCCATTTGATCACTCACAAAGCACGCAATGGCATAGACATTGCTCATACGCAACGCTGCCTGCCTTGGATCAACAGTTGAGAACCAAGCATATGGTGGATAGTTCAAGGACATACCAAAGGCTCTACAACCCCCGACAAATGGAATCCATAACCAATGGGAATTTTAATATCAGACACGTGTCAATGGGAGACATGAGTGTTTCCTGCCTAACAGAGACCAGTGACTGCCGCTCATTTCGTTCAACTATTTGTCGAATACTCATGACTTTCCATCCCATTTCCCTTTGACGTTTTGAGAGGGATTTTCAATTCCTGTTTGCATGCAGGAAAATGGCTGGAGGCCCAGCTGTTGTTGACCACTTCCGTTGAGGGTGTCGCCAAGGGCCTCAGAGCGTTGCGGATGGGTGGTTCGGCCTACGTCCAGGTTTGCCATTGCTGCCACCACGCCCACATAACACCACGCAAAAGCGGAAATGTTGTCCCTGGCAGCCCCTGGCGTCTCGTGCGTCTGAGCAATTGTTACGTAATCAATCTGCTCTCACTCTCGCTCTGCTACGCTCTCTCCCACTCAGTTTTCCTCTCTCACTCTCTCAGAGTTTTCCGTGCATCGAAGTGCGTTGAACTTGGCCCATTTTATGGCGCGTGTTTGAGTGAAAATTCGGCAATTGAGGCACGGGTACATTCTAACAAATTTGTTTTTGCCATCGGGGTACACGTCTGCGCCCACACCCACTTCGCTGGGTGTTTGAGTGAGGCGTCGGCGTCCCTCTGGGGAGGCGTCATACGTACAAAGTGTGAGCGTTAATCTTCTAGTCGCTTATGATGCTTATGGCATTTGTACACAAAGCGCCCACTGTGGAATATATTCCAGAGAATTCGCTGGTAAACATTGTAGGAAGTCTGTAAGCAACAAAAATTCGTATTCCATGATACGTATGATATTCCAGACAACTCGAAGATCGAACTTCTCGAGCTCAGCTGCACAAGACAATTAAAAAGCTTCCTTAAAACAATGATTATCATGAAAAGAGCTGAAAGAAAATAAATTATAATTATAAACTACATTTTTAGCAATAGTTAAATTAAACATACCATCACTTGTACCACCCAGCAACTGCTTCGTTCCACTGTCTGCCAGTTTTCCGACAGGCGTCAGTTTTGTTTGTAAGCGGAGACACTTTGCTAATGATGGCAGTTCGCTGTTCCTTTGGGAGGTGTGGTTGGGAGGAGGACTTTCCTCATTAAGGAACTGATGGGGGAAATGAAACTCAAAACTGGATTCAACTTGTTGTTTTATAGATCATATTTACTTCAATCACAGCACAGAATACAGAGAATATTATCTAATGGTTTATTTGTCGCTCGAAAGGAAATTGGAAATGCGGAAACAAGGGAAAAACTATTTCCATGTGTTGTGTGTTGTGTGTGCGTGGTGTGGTGTGTTGTGTGTTTGTTCTGTAAATTAAGACATAGAGAGATGGAGAAAAGTGGCAGAGAAAGTCGAGCAAGTGCGGAAAACAGGGTGTAAACTGTGGAAGAGAGCTGTGTGGTAGGAGGTTTTCTATCTTTCTTTTAGAGAGTTGTTTAATTGTTGACATGTATGTATATTTTGTAGTTGGGTTACTTTATGTTTATGTTTTTTTTGGTTTTGGTTTTGTTTTTGTTCTTTTTGGATCATTAACACACAACTAACATTTAGAGTATTGTTGAATATGCAAACACGTTTCGTATGTATATAGGTTGATGTGTTACGTTATGCCTAGGTTTAGTTTAGTTTTAGTTTTAGTTGCTTACTAGGTTGCTAGTTACAATTGTTGACTTGGTTGTTAGATTCTACTTGAAGATCAGGTTTCCGAAATGTTTCTCTTGTCGTAGTTTCTCTCGTGGTACAGCAGTTGAGTCATTCATGATTGTTGCGAGTTGCAAAGAAAGGCTTTTAAAATAGCTAACAGAGGTGTGAAAGAACAGCACAACTTAATTTAATATAAAACATTACAGCTAGAAATAATCTCCATTTGGGGCGCACATATGCCGCCTCCATTTTTGTGCAATTCAAACAAACTTATAAATGTACAATAAAAATTATTTAAAAATTAGCAGCAGCAGCAGGAAGCAGCAGCAGTTGAGCACTCTCTCTCTCTCTCTTCTCTGCTTTCGAGTTATCTCTTGTTTGAGTCTGGTATTCGATTCTTGCTAGGAAACGTATTGCCTGTGTGTGTGTTGTACAAATAAGAATATTCAGCCTTCGTCCCTTTGACTAAAAATGCACCATCCATGTATCGTTCCTTTATCAAAATTATTCAATCCTTCACCATGTTCATGGGCCAATCAGTATAGATAGTTGTGGGGAAAGACGGCACGTGCAGGCAGATAGCAGGGATCATGTTGATTGCGATAGCGACGCGCCAAGAAAACGGCCAAGACCTAAGTGGAAACAAAAGAGGAATTAGTCAGCGATCATTCAGAGTTGTTTGCATAAGAACATGAACCAAGGAAAATGAAGACACAATAATGCTTAAACATGTCTCACCCTCTCGCCTCTGCTCGATTAGGCTTAGTCAAAGAGCCCCGACAGTTGGTTTTTCAGTTAGTTAAAAGAGTGTTAGAATGCAGGGTAAGGAAGAAGGGGATTGTTGATTGCTTTATATGGCTCTCTCCTCCTCTATATGTCTATAACACTATATCTGTACGAGTGTATATATGTCTAAAGTTGTATTGTATATCAATTACGTACTAACACACATTACGTACATATGTATCTATGCTGTAATGCGTTTATATATAGATCTGTATATATGTATGTCTGTATTTATATATGTATCTGTAGATGGTATAAATATATAAGATGTATGCAGACCCAAAGAGCTCTCTTTTGGTCTATGACCCATGAATTCTACCCCCAACATCCATAGCAACATTTCGCAGAAAGGGAAATACACAGAGACAGAGATACACACACATAAATCTATATAACTTTGCCTGTTGCTATGTCTTCTATTGGGGGATTAATTGTTCTTTTCTGATTTAGGGGACAATTTAAAGGAATGCGCTGGGCAAGCCGCGCGGATCCTTTTGATTGCGATAGCGCACGGTTAGCCAGACGCCCACAAACTAAAGGCAGCATGTGAATGGATGGAGGAATTACACAGATTACAAATTACAGAGATTAGTACAAACTATTCTATTTCTTTGCACGCACCTCGGTGAAGCTGAAGAAGATGCCCAGACCGCCGCACAGCTTGAAGGCATAGTCGATCTTGTCCTCCAGCATGGGACCACAGGCCGGGCAATGGCAATCCACATCGTTCGACTGTTCGCAGCACTTTCGATTGACCAGCTCGCAGGAGGGTTCATCTGTCGGAGCGAGTGGAGTGGTCGGAAGGTTGATGCTGCTGGTGGCATTGAAGCCGCAGCAGTCGAGGCTCTCCTGCACCTGTTGCCGCAACTCTGGGGGCACTGTCATCCATCCCTGCTCGGCAAACTGCTGCTGCTGCTCGGCATTGACGGCCAGGCAAGAGCTGGCAATGGAGAACTGAATGAGGAAGAGCATAAACAGGATGATCATGTACTGTGGGGAGTGGGAGAGAGACACAGTCTAGGGGTTAAGGAAAGCCACGAGAGCGATTGCAAAATGCTTATCAAGAGTGGTGATGCACATGCCCACTGCTGTCGTCATTGCCGCCGAGGCCCCGTCATAATTTGCCTCATAATGAGGCCACTTTTCATGTCATTGTTCGACACGAGGGCCACGACCTTCGGCTCTATGTATGTGCCAAGCACTTTTGGTGCGTGCGCTTGCAAGGTTTTCTTGTGGTTGGTTCGAAAAGGATACAAAGAAGAGCATCACTTGATGGTGCTTCACAGCGCCGGCGAGGCCCAGCATGGAGATGCAGATGAGGATGACGCCGCAGGCCAGGATGCCGCCCACAATGGGCAGATTGGTGACAATGGAGGCGGCCCGCGCATAGACCCCCACGCCAATCAGCAGGAAACCAATCATCTAGTGGACGGAGAAGAGAGGAGAGAAGAGAATAAGTACTTAAGATGTGCACTGGAGGTCGACTATTAACAAGAGGAACAACAGACCGCAGACAGGCAGCAGCAGCAGCAGCAGGCAGGACGCATGGATACATACAGGTACATATACAGACGATTGCATGTGCGTGTGTGTGTGTATGTTGCACCTGCCACAAGAAAATCAATAAATTGCCATTAGGCGCTGTAATTTAATCATCTACTCGTAACACAATCGCTTTTGTTGCTGTTGCTGCTGCTTTGCATTTGTTGTTCCACTTCCTGGTTGTTGTTTTTGCCACTGGGAATTTCTACATTTCTGTTTGTTTTTTTTCTCGCTTGCTTACCACATATAAAATGTTGAGCGCTATGAGCGCATTCTTCGAGCAGGTAAATCCTCCACACATGTTGCTGCACAACTTATTCTGGCTTTAAATGAGTTTTATCGAATTTAATTCAGTTTTTTAACAATTTCAAAAAATTTTCGTATTTTGCAGCGCAATTTTCACTTTCAATTTTAGTGTGACCGCGGAGTATTCCAAAAAATATACCACAATATGACCACACACAATACCAAAGTTTCTTGGTATTTAAAGTAAAGTAAATTTTAAATATACTGCATACTCGATTGCTGACTGTCGCAGGGTCAATGCTGTGAAGAGCAGAATTTACACAAATGTAGAAAAAATGTAAAATGTAATGTTATAAATATAAATGTGATCCGTTGGAAGCGAATTTAACGCCGAAAAGTTTGCGGTTAATTTCAAGTAAATTTCAACATTCTAATACCCTTGGGGGGAAGGATATCTTCGAATAGAGGAAATGTTTGAAATCTTATGCTCCAATCAATGCAAAAACTAGTCAATGGAGGGCTAGCTTAACGAAATTTAGCAGATTAAAGATAACGAGAATATATCTGATCGGGATATATAAACTTAGAAAACATTCGGCATGTTAACAACAAAGCATGTTAGTCCAAGAAAAAATCATTATTAATGTTTAAAAGCAGTTGGGAGAACGGAATTTTAATATTAATTAATGGAAATAGGGTACAGAAATGCCTATACCATTCCATACTATTACCAACAAAGAATTGTCAAATGACGTAACCTTCTGTTCCCACCCACATGACTTTTAATGCTGATCTTTTTGTTTGAGCCTTTTAGTTTAAACATTATTTGGCAATCAATCCCATAAAAAAAGTGATGAAAACCAGCCCATCTTGTGGAATGAATTGACTGATGAATTGGTTAAAACTATAGTTTTAGCGCTGAAAATTCCAACTAGCTGGTAATATTAAATAGAACATCAAAGTCGAGGAAAATGATTTTAGATTTGAGGTATATTTGCGGTATATTTTGCAAATTCCGCGATCACGCTGAACACCGCGGATTTTTGCATTGTTTTCATTTTCAAGACCCAAACTACGCAATTAAGGCAAAACAAGTAACTAATTATGTTGAAATGTCAATTTCCCTTGAGCCGCCAAGTGCCGTTAATTGCATTCTACATGCCACAAGCCTTGGAAATTCCAACAAGAGGCGAAACAACAACTTCATTGCGTGTCACGGTCAGCGGAGGCCTAGGACCTCCTCATGGCAGCCGCAACAACCACGAGGCGGCATAAATTTATGGCCAAACGATAAGCGCCAGCCGAAAAACACACAAAACCAACAACAAATCTGAAAAGAAAAGAGGAATATTCCAAGCTAAGCCAGCGATCGCGCTGCCCAAAATTGGACAAGGAACGTGCGTCGCGCGAGCAAAAGCAGAATTTAGTAGCTGTCAAAGGCATCAGCTGTGGCCCGGGCAACACCTACAGCCTGGTCAGTGTCCGAGAAGTCAAGTTGTGGCTGGTGGGATGGTAAATGGCGGGAGATGAGGCGAGTGGCAGCGGCCACAGCGGCATCCACACGCAAAGAATGCCACAGGTGAGTCCCAAGCTGCTGAATGTACAGTGGAGATTGGCTAAGTCTAGAAATTTCGCATCTTATTTCCAGATGAGAATAAATGATCTTTATCGTAGATGATAAGCCTCTCTCTCTCTGCTGTTGCTGTTCTCATCGTCTGATTAGACTCTCTGTTAGCCAATCTCCACTGTGATCCCCTGTTAGCCCAACTTTGTACTTGACTTTGCGTGCAAATGGGAAAAATGCCACAAAATCGTAGAGGGGGCAGAATCGCGAGAAGTGAGATCCCGATCCCCTAGAGCCGTTGGTGGCCTGTGTGACTCTATAAGGCTGATGCTGTCAGTTGTTTTTAGCCCGGCTCATTGGCAGCTTTATTGGCCCACTGCATATGGATGGGTCCGCTCCGCTCTGCTCCTCGTGTGTGCATGTTTTGCTGTGTGTGTGGGCCAACCTGCATACCAATCATAAATATAAATATGAATCTAAAATGCACTTGCAGGCGTCCCAGACCAATTCGGAGTCGCCTCGGCAACCTCGTTAGCCTTTGCGCTAGTGCGAAGATGCAAAACGGTTCTCGGATCTCGGGACTTGGGAGCTTGGGTACCCTGGTCCTCCTGCTGCTCTTGCTGCTCTTGGTGGAGCTGCTAACAAGATGGCAACACATGAAATTAGACTGCAGCGATGCACGGCCAGCGATAGAAGGAGAACGAAGAACTGATCGTGCCCAGAAAACGGCAACAGGAACAACAAACTAATTAACATATTCAAATATTTGTCGCATTGTTTTCGCCCGTTTCCCAGAGTCTAGTTCTCTTCCACTGATCTCTGCTCGTCTGCCCACCTCTCGTTCTGTTCTCGCTTCTGCCCCTGCTCCGTGCTCCATGCTCCGTGCCAGTTGCCTGTTTATTGAAAAACCATTTTACGGTTTCATGCTTAAAAGTCATTGGGAGTGTGCGCCCTGCCGTGTCCAGAACCACGCCCCATCCTTGGCACCCATTGTGCAACAGCAGCAGCAGCAGCGGCAGCAGAAGAAGCATCAGCAACACCAGTCGCAGCATCTTCCCTTTTGCATTCTATGGGGATTTTCTTCTCTCTCTCTCTCTCTCTCTCTCTCTGTCTCTGTAGACCCGTTGGCGCTATTTTTATCGCATTTTAAAAGGCTATTTGTAGTTGTTCCACCAGGAAGTGGCATAAATTCGCAGTGCATAATGGCTGTGAATAAATTATTTTGCAGCAGCTTCCTCTGGCTGGCACGGACTCCGCTGTTGGTGCTGCTGCTGCTGCTGCTGCTGCCCACCATTGATTCTGCCTCGCCCACGGGGCCTGATAAGACGCAGCACTGCGCTGCAAAGCTTTCCCAGCTCGGAGTGGTAGACCCACCTCTGGCTCATCCATTGCGTTGTTCAATGAAAGAAGAAGTACAGATGAACAGGAACAATGCACTGGTTACGTAATCACTTACTGCGATTGTTGTCCTGCCTCCAGCCGCCGCCCGCTGCTCGTGAGAGTGGCCAGCCGGCGGCCTTCCTTGTGCACTCAAGCCATTTTCACGCACGCCCCCACCTCCAGCTAGGGCTAGGGCTTGGGCTTGGGCCCAGTGCTGTGATCTGTGATCTGTGATCCTCCTAAAAAATTGAATACGCAGCCATCGCATGCGCAGGCAGGAAAAAGCAAAAGTCTCACAGTTTGCCAAAGCGGAAGCGCTGACCAGGGCTTGGGCGCTGCTGAACCCTGCGGAAGATGTTGCTGTGATGCCAGCAGGAGACTGAACGAGGGATTTGTGTGTACTGTATGTGTGTGTGACTAGTTGCAGTGCAATTTAAGCCATACTGTTCTTCAGATTATATATGAATACATCTTTATCTTTCAGCATTCAATCAGACTCTGCCTGTAAGCATGGACCACTGATTGGGTGGCACTTGACCCTGAGAATATCGTCATATGACAGCCCTAAGGAATTGCCATCCGAATGCAGGTAAGCTTAGTAGATTTTTCCAGTCCCCACTCCAATACCATTTAATGTAAGTCAGATGTGATTTCATCTCGCGTTTAGCCAGAGTCAAAGTCAAAGTTCAGCTGGGACTACCGAATCTTTGAAGTGAAATTGATTTTGAGTGAAATGACCCCGGTAGATGCTCCTTTGGGTTCTGTAATTGCCGCAGGTCTGGACTCTGGAGATTCCAGAGATGCATTCCAGTTATTAATTGTTTTCTGTTTTTTGTTTTATTGCTGTTGTGTTCGTCCCACTCTTGTGTGGCCAACAAGAACCTGGCGAATCTAGCGAAGCATCTTTAAACGGTACTGAACCATTTCTCTAATTTCTAATGGCGTTCCATCTCTCTGTATCGCTCTGGCTCCGACACCGAGGAGGGAGTCTTTTGGGGCCTGGTCAATGTCCTTTGCCATTTCGGTTTTGTTTGGATGCATTGCATGCGCATTGCGCACGACGCGTCAGGCAGCCATCCGCAGTCGGTTGGGTCTTCAGTTGGGTCTTCAGCCATCCAGCCAGCCAGCCCAGATGTTATCCATTCCATTGCCGCAGTGACCCCACCAGGGCCATAAATTCTCACAGTGCTTACACGCCTGCGCCTCTCTACAAATGTTCCAATTTGTATTTTTGCACAAATTGTTGTTGCTTCTTTGGAGCTCTTCCTGTTTGCGGCAGTGTTGCCGTTGCCGTTGCCGTTGCCGTTGCAGTCGCAGTTGCAGTTTTACTGTGCCTGGGCTGCTCTGCTTTGGCTGTTTGTTTAGATTGCATTTAATTTAATTTGCTTTACCCAATTGGGCTGAGCCCGCAATTAGAGACAAATGTTTTCGGCTGCATTCCTCCGGCTACTTAGCCCCCATGTTCGTGGCAATTAGTTGCGCCTTCCACTCGCTGGGCTATTGGGAATCTGGGGACATTGGACACTGGGGACATCCGGACATGGGGCGTGTCGTATTGGGTCGCTTCGAACGTTCGGGTTCGGGTCGACGTTCGTCGGTCGGGAGTCGGGAGTCGGGAAGCCGGGCGAAAGTTATCTTGGCCAGAAGCACAAACGCTGGCCGCCTCGATTTCCCACACGTTTGTTTGCTTAATTAGGTGAAAACTTGCCAACAGCTGTCCCGTGCCGTCCCATCCCGTCCCGCATGTCCCGCCATGACGGGCAATTGCTAATGAGCAGGACAAGCTGGAGGAGTTGGCGAAATGAAAAGTAACAAGCCAACAAGCCAACAAGTCCTCGCTTTCAGCCATCGGAAAATGGAAAATGGAAAATGTTTAATGGTAAACGGGAAAACGTTCACTCTGTCGCTTCAAGTGCTAAGATTCCAACTTTTGTCAGTCTATCTGTTTGCCTTCTTTACTCTATGCAGAAGTTGAGGATTCTTGGCTATGATGGACGCTTAGCGGAGGAACTGGGAAAGAATTTCTGTTCCATCCTAATCCTAATTTCAAATGCATCAATTTCACACTCCTTCCTGGAAATCTTTCACACTATTTTTATATGTATACCAATTTGTTTTGAATGCTTTTCATCTCTCTCGATTAATTGGCAGCATTTCCTTTTGCATTTCCGGCCAGTTAAAAGAGCATTAAAAGTTTCACATGGCAGGAAGTAGCTTGGTGTT